GTACTAATATCTCTGTGAGGATATTCATTGACATAATAAATTCCCTAGCTGCTTACCCCTCTTTCTCCTTATATAATACAAGACATGATGAAAGAAATAATCATCAACTCCATGACTGAGTGTTTCCACCTTGAACTGCAGTGAACCAATGACAGTCTCATAAAAACAGATTCAGGCATCCAGGGTTTCATACATCACAAACCTAAGGAACCAATCCTGTCAACTGGTGGGGACAGGGGGCGGGGCTAAATAAACCTGAAACCTTGTCAGTACAGAGAGAGTTAGCATTTGCACAGCCACTAACACTGTGTCAGCCGTTGCTAGTTACAAGCTAACAAACAACTTATACAAATAAAAGATGCTAACTATGCTAACTGTTCTGATCCGTCTGCTAGTCTCTGGTTCTGGTCTCAACACACCATCTACCTCTGCAGACTCAGCCTTAACTGTTATGGAAGATTTAGAAGTAATAAAGATTGTTTCGGTGTGGGATTTTCATCTGTTTAGAAAAAAGCAGAAAGTGCCACAGTTTGACTAGGATTTCATTCCAAATCACTGCAGGCTGAACCCACTCATTCAGCAGTCAATGAATAAAAATGATCAAATTCTAAAAAAAAATGTTGCTTTTCAGATTTCAGTTCATGCTGACACCTGTAGTTACTGCTGGAAACAGCGGATCTGCTTCCACAGTTGTCACAGGTCAGCAAAACAAACTGTTAGCGCAGAGGATCTGTCACCTGGTGCAAAGTAGGAGCAGCCAGAAAGTACTGAAAGTGAATGTTCTCTGTTCCATGTAAGACTGACCAACCTGGGGATTTGTTTGGAACCTGTCTGATGCTCATTTTTCTTGACTGTTTGAATTGTTTTTGAGCAACGACGCAGTGTTTCAAGATTACAGTTATTACTTTGGTGACAATAGCATATCTTTCATAACTGAAGTTATCTAAATAAAATTCAAGGTGTAATAAACCAGTGTTTTCCACAAAGCAGTTGCTGATTCAGTCAGAAAGTGTCAGTCACTTAACATTATCTTTACAGAAAAAAAAAGTGGAACTTTACTTCTGGACACCTGAAATAAGTCTTAATACAATACTTGAAGACAGTCAGCGATACTGAACTTGTAATCAAGTGTAATGTGTCTTCCATTTCACGTTTAGGTGCCATTCTGCACAGGAAAAGAGCTCTCTGTCAGTAACAATTAAAACTACTATATAGAGAAGTCACAGTATATAGATTGACAATTGATTATTGAAGTAAACAAGACTAGGTCAAAACCTAGTATATGTCTGGACCACCTGTCAAATCCTGATTTTATAACTGTAACATGATCAGAGAGAAAGTTACTTCAGCTCCAAACATACACAAACAACAGACTTTTATTAGAGGCAGGTCTTTATGTCTAACTCCCTCTGTTTGATATGTAGAGTTGGTCATAGTCGTTAGCATGAAGCCTCGTTACAGATGACTTCTCTCTCTCTCCCTCGCTCTCTCCTGCTCTCTCTGCTCTGTGTGTATTATGTTTAGTTATTCCTCTGCCTCCTTCTGTAATAATTATACATGGAATGAAAGTAGTTTATTTGCTGTGATGGAGGTGAGCCCCAGGTCAGCATCCGTACACAGTCCAGTCCTGAACCAGGTTTATACGGAGTCTGTTTCAAACAAAGCCGGTAAATCTAGAGACAATGAGCTGCAGCTGTAAACACCCCCGCTAATAGAACCTGTTTGATCCAGAAACTCCAACTCAGTGACAAGGCACCTCGCCAGTGGTGGAAGTATAATCAGTCAGTCAGCCAGTCAGTCATTCGGGGACATTTCAGATTATAGGGCCAGCTCCGCTGTTGCAGACAAATAAAACATTACAGCCATAAATAGAATCAGAAATGGAGTTTAAAATAATGAAAAAAAACTCTCAGTTCTTTGGATGGAGCTCTAACTCTAACTGTGATTGCAGTGAATATTACTCAAACTAAAAGTGATTGGCTTATGTTATTCCAGCATTTAAACTGTGACACTATCTGCCTGATGGGTTTAAAGGTCACCTGAATGCACTGCCATCTTCAGAAATGAGTTCATGACACAGTTTTCCCTTCCTGTGTGGCTAATGTATTGCTTTTATGCTTGGTCTTTTTCCATTACCCCATTTGTTTCTTGATCTCTCACCTTTTGCTTTTAACTTTGAGAAACACTTCACAATAAAGTGGTTTGTGTTCTATTATAGAAGTAAAGTTGACTTTATGTAGTTCATTTTAGTTTAGGAATAAAATGGCTATAATGAAAATATTGTTGACTGGAGTCTGGTAAAGGTTTTGCTGCAGCCTCAGTGACTGACCTGAAATGTCCAGTGCATCTCACTGCTGCTGTCCTGAAACTCAGCAGTGACCTGTGGTGAGAGTGGGATGATGGAAACGGACCGACTGACATTGGCCTTTTCAGCATGGGGTTTATTTTTTCAGCTGGATTTCACATATACAATATCTACAACATTAAATCTTTGAATAAAAATATTGAATGTGTATGTACCTTACTTTGCTTCCACCCCCATTACCTCTGTTTTCACTTTTTTTTATTCCTCCATACAGTCAGAGGAATAATGTTTTCAGGTTGCCTGTCTGTCCGCCCCATTCTTGTGGACATGAAATCTCAGTAACGCCTTGATGGAACTTTCTTCAAATTTGACACAAACATTCACTTGGACTCAAGGATGAACTGATTAGATTTTGGTGGTTAAAGGTCAAAGGTCAAGGTCAGTGTGACCTCAGAAAACATTTTTTAGCCATAACTCAAGATTTCACACAGCAATTATGACAAGATTTCACACAAATGGTTCATATTGTATATGACTCTGGATAAACAGGGATGTGACCTGAAACGAGTCTGAGTGGAAGAGGCAGACAACCACGAGGAGGTGATTTTAGTTTTTCAAATCTACCCATTCAGACAGGTATTGGGACTCAGTACATTCAAGTTGGTGGAGACCATATGTTCTTTTGTTCTATAGACAAAAGACCAACAGCTCTCTTGCAGGCCATACTGCAACACTTCAACAGCAGCGATGCGAGTCGACATGTTTACTTCAGTTTACTGCAGCTAGGACACAAAGTCTGCCAGCTGAGTTTTGGAGCAACCGAAGATAGAGCAGAATTAACGCGGAACAGCTAACTCTTCCGTGAAGTAGTAATTTCATTGTTGCAAAAGAAGCAATGACCAAACACACATAAAAACCTCTGTGTTATTAATCCATGCAGTCATTATAAAGCTCAGCTCTATTTGTAATCTAGAAAGGAACAGAATCGCTTGTTGACCCCCCCCTTCCCAGTGAAGTGAAAGTTCCACCCATGCAACACCGGTGATTGAACTGGTGCTTTCTATTTCCACTGAGTGCTACATGAAACCATGTGCACACAAAGACATAGGTTACAGATAAAGTACTGATGCAGTGGCTCCATATCAAGGAGCTAATTTCTGTAATAGTCTCTTAAGAGTGTGATGTTGAGCATAACCAAAGACACTGGCCCACAGCAGGAGAAACAGGACAGGTTCTCTAACCTGCCATCTACTGCCTCTGTGCAGCCTCTGACAAGTACTACCATGTTCTGGAATAGTTGGGTGAATTTGAAATGAATTCCTTTGAGATGCATTGCTATGATTTGCTAAATATTCGCCCAAATTTTTTGACATCAATTTTTGAAGCTAAACAATGATAAATTCATGGATGATGAACATGAAGCATTTGCCTTCCTTACCGAGGAAAGCAGATGTGCCAGAGGCAATTCACAGAGTGGAAAACACGCCTCGGTTCTGTTTTAAGCTGAGAACTTTTCCTCTATTTTAAGCTCCAGAAAAACCTGACGTCTAATGTTCAGATGAGTGAAGTCCTCAGCCTCTGTGCTCACTCACACTCTCTCCTCTCTTGTTACATGTTATAGAGCAGGTTGTAGCAACAGGACAGACTTTCCATTGATTTTATTGGCTCAGTCACACTGTGCCAACAAACACAAATATACAGGTGAGGCAAATTGGAGATGCCTGAATAAATGAGTGGAGAAACATAACAAATGCGGATGCTTCCACACAGGTGCACTGCATGGTACAGTTAAGTAATCAACATCCCATCATGGTCCATGGTGTGTATAAAAATGAAGGAATTTGTATGATAAAGATCTAAAAGGCGTTGAAAGAGGGTTCACTGTTGGGGCAGTAGCTTCAGTCACAGATACGCTCAGCTGACTGCTGGATCAATAGGAGCAGAGACTAAAGTGACATTTGCATTTAGTTACTTTTCCAAGCAATCATTTTGTCTATAAAATCTCAAAAGATGGAAACAGTGAATGTTTTGTCTGATAAATGAATTTAGCAATTAATCAATTGTCAAAATTGTTGGTGACTGATTTAATAATTGATTTATCAATTAATCAAATTAACTATAATATTACTATCTATTCTTAAAATGTAAGATCCTTAACATGTTCATGATACCACAGCCAGTTGATGAATTATGATCACACTCTGCCTTTCCTCTGCACTGGAGTCAAACCTCAGGCATTCACAGTACAGAGAGCCGTAACCACGTCGCCTGTCCTAAAACCACTAACTGCTGTTCTTTCTGTTTGTGTGTGGACCAAACAGCAGGGAGACAACATGTTAATTAGTGATCTGTAGAGGTGATTTTTTTAAATGTGTATCATTCCTTAATAAATCAGTGTTTAGTTAGTGTTGTGGGGGCAGTGTGAGCATTATGACTGAGTTTTCCAGCCAGCGGTCTCTGGAGATGAGTGGGGAAGGAAAGTTACTCTTTCCCCTACTACAGCAGCTTCTATCAAAAGACTGATCCAGTAAAGTATCCAGCTCTCCAACATGCTGTCCAGACATTATGGCAATAGTTAAAAGATCAATCAGAATTACACTGACAGTAGCCTACTTAAATGTTTCCCCCCTGCAGCATCAAAACCTCTCCCCCCAGCTCTGCATGGTAACGCACTGTAAGTCGCTGGTTCTCTCACCTTGGACCTTGACCTGGTTGGATGTGCAAGTAGGGCAGGGCAGCAGGGTGAACTCTTCCGCCTGGTGCATGGAGTAGTCGGTACTGGCCACCACCACCCGATCCCCCAACACCCAGCCCTCTGGTTGGTCGGCGAGCTCCAGGATACTGCTGTTGGACAACATGTCGATGGAGATGGAGGCCTGTGGGCGAACTGCAGAGGGGAAATGGTAAGAGTTAGAGCGCACAGGATGCAGCACACTCACACAGGCCTACACAGCAACACATGCCCAAACTGCATGTGTGTATATTCAAGTTCAGTCTCCAACATCTTAGTATGGCAGGGCTGAGAAATATGGTTTTTTAAACTTCCATTCCAATCGAATATTTTTTATATTTCTTCACTTTTGACTTACACTATCGTCACATGTGAATAAAGAATAAAGTGGCTGGTGCTTGCCTGCTACATTCCCACATTTTAAGGTGTTTTCATCTCCTGACTGCATGGGTTTTTCTTCTCCTGGTGAATACTAAGGTGTTCACAGGCCAGATTGGATTCATACAGTGCTGTGCAAACGTGTTAGACACATAAGATGGTCTGACCCTCTCAGCATTGATACCATCTAGATCCACAGAAGAACTGTGGCATGTTCTCCAAGATGACTTTAACAACCTACCTAGTGCTTTTACAGGCAAAGGGTGGTCACACTAAATATTGATTTACTGCACCTTGTATGAAGTCAACTGATAAATAAAAACTACTTATGGCACTGCTTTTGAATGCATCCTCACTTTACTGCCTTAAACATCCGCAGAGTCCAGAGCATAACCCCTCAGTGTTTTCTGGCTCTGTCCCTTGTCCTCGTCCCTGTTGAAAGTACCCAGAACCCCTCACTACACAGACATCCTTATCAGATATGCGAACGACCCCAACTGCTTCTCCGAATGCTAAGGAGCAGTGGCTCTACTCTGACCTCCTTCTGGATGTCTGAGCTCTTCATCTTGTCCCTAAAGCTGAGCAAGAAAACTCATTTCACTGCTCGTATCTACAATCTCATGCTTTCCCTTCATGACCTTAGTTAAGTGCTGATGTCTGTTAACATAGATCATCCGTCAAAGCAAGAGAAAGAGTTCCAGTACTACAAACATGTTACTGCTGACACAGCACTATTGTTCCTGTTACTCATGCATTATATCTTACCTGCACTCAATAATAAGACCCTGAGATACTAGAATCCTACTTGGGGCAACTGCTCCCAGTCATAGACTCAACTGTGAGCTGAGAGGGGAGCTGCTGAGAAGTCAGTTGTTTGTGGACACAAACAACTCCAGTGCACGCCAGAAATACAAGTCCATAAAACCCGAAGAACAATGTCATCGGCAAAATGCAGAGATGCAATCCTAAGGTCACTGTAGCAGACACTCAGAGATTCAGTCAGTGAAATTCACAAACAATCAGTGACAAGGCAGAACACAACACCCAGTTATACAAGGACCAGATGGCTCATATGTAGTGAACTGCGCATCCTGTATTTCTGTGAGCGACATGGTCAGAAGCCTCCTCCAACTCCACAAACATGTGTAGACTGGATGGGAAAACTTCCAGGGAGCCTGCAGTGTCCTGCTGGTCCACCGCTGTTCCTCCCAAAACTGAGGGTTGATAATAGGCCAGTGTAAGTTTTCCCTGGGAGGCTGAACAGGAGGGTACCACTATAATTTAAATCAACAGTAAGTGTAATCCAGAACATTTTGGCAAAATAACAATGGTTTGTTTTGATTTGTTCTTTTGTAAACATGAAACAGATAAACCAGTACTGATGCTACAGTTGTCTCTCTGTGTTATTGCGTTTTTAAGTGAGAAAACTGACCTGGATGGCTTGAAGTCAGTTGCCAAAGTGATGTACACACACACACACACACACACACACACACACACATATCCTATATTTGTGGGGACACGTCATTGACCAAATGCATCCCCACATACACAGACATGGCTGGTGATCTCAATCACCAGGCTGCGACTCAGTACCAGTCCATGCAGTGTTGGCTACCAGGCTGCAAAGACATTATCTGACATGAGCAGACATTATACATCCACTGCACCCCAGCCCACCTCCCCCTCCATGAGGAACATATAACAGGACAGATGACCTGGTTTAGGGGATGATGGTGTGCAGCTTAGCAGCCTCTCTCGTAATTTCTGTTGTGCATCAAAACAGAATATCCCGCCTTCTGAATCTGAATCAGAAACAGGTTTATTGCCAAGAAAATTTTCACCTCACTGTTGTGGTGCATAACAGACAGAAATATGAGTACCACAAAAGTGCTGTAGCAAAACACTGAATTAACAGCTTACAGATAACTAATGGTGTTCCACAAGGTTCAGCTCTAGGTTTAGTTGTTTTTACATTTTACATTAATAATATTATTTCATCTTTAACCAGCTGCTATGTACATTTGTATGTGGATGATATAATATTGTGCTGTATTGCCAGCTCTGCTCAGCTAGCTGTAAGAAACCTGCAACATTCTCCAAGATGTACTTAATGACCTTAAACTTATTTTGAATGCACGTAAAACCATGTGCTGTTTTCCAGAGCTGTAGTTAATTCATGTTTCCACTGTACAAGGATCAGATATCGAGTTACAGAAACTAAATGCCTTGTTATTTGGATAGTTGACAAATTCAAATATCCTATAGACAATCTTGTCAAGTACTTACAATGGTAATAGATCAAACTTCCCTCTGCTGTGTGTAGCAGACATACCTGGCCTGGCATCAGTCACAAGCCATTAAAGAAGTTCATTATAAGGACATGCAGAGTTACGAACCCACAATTAACACTTTGTTCACATTGATAGGAAACAGAGACAAAGGACCCTTCTCTCACAAACAGTCCATGCTGTTAGCATGTCAGAGAGATGCTCAACCAGATCAAAGGTCAAAGGGTCAGCTCCAGAGGATCAGCCAATGGACACCAGGCATCTGGAGAGCATGGGCAAGATCTCCAGTTTGTAATAAAAAGACTCTAATGATATTGCTTGTTAATTATATAGAAAAGTAACATCAAAAGAACTGATTATCACTAAAGGAGTGAATCCTGGTCTCTCTGTGCCATGCATGAACACATACACACATACACACACAAACTAGTCTTTCCCCATTTCACTCTGTCCCCATTTAGATGNACTGGAGAGCATGGGCAAGATCTCCAGTTTGTAATAAAAAGACTCTAATGATATTGCTTGTTAATTATATAGAAAAGTAACATCAAAAGAACTGATTATCACTAAAGGAGTGAATCCTGGTCTCTCTGTGCCATGCATGAACACATACACACATACACACACAAACTAGTCTTTCCCCATTTCACTCTGTCCCCATTTAGATGAGAGTCATAAACTACAACCCACATTCCAATCCTGGGTAGTGACCAGCAGAACTCTCTTCACAGACACAGATCTGAGGAAGAATGTAAAATTAAATATCTAACTGTTCTGTAACACATGTGATGCTTCCATGCAATAATTCAATTCCCAGTCTATACTCTAGAATGGCTGAAATACAACATATAGGTTTCAAGACAATGTCTTTGATGTGGTCATACTGTCAGCATCCTTCACACAACAGACATTATAGTCATTCAAAATGTCTTTATTATTATCAATATAGTCAAAGAACTGCTGTGTAATCCACATTTATAGACTATTAGCTTTAGGAAATGTTTATATTGTTGTTTGATCAGTTAACCACTTGTATCATGATTAATTCCAGGTTTGAAGGATGTAATATGAAATCAACACTCCTATTACTCCTCTCTGCCATTATTAGTGCAAGTAGGTTTATATGTTATTTCATTTAATGTTTTGTGGTCATGGTGGAAGACGGATGTGCGAGTTTATAGGCAAACTCTAGAATTAAACTATTCAAAAGTTCAGTGGAAAATTACTCTCTTCTCCAAGTGGAAACACAGGAGGAGACGGGTGACGCCCCTGAAACATGCGCCAGCCCCCAGGGGATAAAACAGTTGTGAACAATTCACACATGGCTCTGTAGCTTTGTAGCTCAAAAGAACTCCCAGCTCTTAGCCACCAGCTCTAAGTTATTGGCTCAAAGTCATCAGCTCTTAGCCATTGCTTTCTGCCATTTTGCACTTTATCGTTTTGTCTGCATTCTTTATTCTTTCTTTGCCACGGGCTCCAAGTAACATTTTCTTTGTCTAGCGCAATGTTTTATTTTTATAAGCCAAGTCAAAACCAACTGAACCAAAACAACAGAAGTTCCTCAGAGTAATTTTGTAACTTTTAATTGTTATCACGTTTTAATTTTAAGTTTTTCTTGTGAACATTTGATATAAGATTTATAAAGTTTATTATAATATTTATAAAAATCCTGATTTATCTCTTTTGGGTGGTAGGTTATATTATTAACTTTGAAACCAGTTGCTTTAATCATCCTTTCTGCTTGCTGGTTCTTCAATTAATGGGCAGGTAGTTTGCTTGGTTTATTACTAAATTCATGATGTTTTTGTTTAACATGGTTCTTTTTTTTTTGTAATTTCATTTGAAATGTTGAGGTTTAGTTTGGCTCTGGATACAGTTTGTCTCCCGTTATCCTTCGCAGATGCTGTTTTATGAAGTGCTTCACATCTTTCTGCTTCTCGATCAAGTTCTTGTTCTTGTTCTTGCTTCTGTGGTTCATGTTTTTTAAATGACACATATGAAATAATTGATTCTCTTAAGGTGGCTTTTGCAGCTTCCCAGTTGGTATTGGGTCAATGAGGGGATTTTAATTCATTTTCTTTTATACAATTTGTAATCCACACTCACATTTTTTATTTAAATTCTTTATCTATCAGTAAGGACGTATCAAATGTCCATCACCTAGAGACAAAGTGTTCCCTGTCGAAATGAATATTTAAATGAATTCTGGCATGATCTGAAATAATGATTGGATTAATTCCACAATTTTTTATCATGTATTTTAAGTGTACAAAGAAATAATCTATTCAAGAGTATGAATTATGAACATTTGAGAAAAAAAGTATAATCTTTGACATCCTGATTTAATTCACACCAGACATTAGTTAGTCCACATTCTGCACATAACCCGTGAAGGACCTTTGAAGATTTGGAGCTGTGGCCTTTAGTCTGGTTAGATTTATCTAAGATAGAATTGATTGTACAGTTAAAGTTGCCACCTATCACTCCAAAGCCTTTACAGTTTTCACTGAAAAGCAGCACCATGTCCCACATAAATGGTGGTTTATATGTATTGGGAGCACAAACATTTAAAAAGGTTCTTGGGATTCCACAGATCGAACCTGAGATCAAAACAAACCTGCCATTATGGTCTGTAACAGATTTTTCTAATTGAAATGGAGTGTGTTTGTTTATCAAGATGGCTGTTCCTCTGCTATGAGTTTTATATGAAGAAAACTAAACCTGACCCATCCAACCCCTTATTTTTTATCTGTTAGATAAGTTTCTTGCACAAAGGCAACATCTACTTGATCTCTTCTTTCCGCTTTCATGGAACTTCCCAAACCTTTAATATTCCATGAATTAATTTTCATATCTGACATGGCGACTGCTGCATGTTGGTAGGATTACGTCTTAATGTGTGCAGGTGACTAAAAGGTAGTGTGTCACTGTTTCTGTTAATTAACAAAATATCATAACAAAAAGAGAAAAAGGAAAAAGAAGAAAAAATGACAACATGCATATGACGCATGAACCCACCCCCACTGTGGTATTGAAAACCACATCAGTTCACCTACTTCATAGCAGGCCAGAGAAAAACCACTAAATAGAGAAAAAAATACAAAAACTTAACAAACACATGTAAAGTCTTCCTTGTGGTGCTGGCAACCTGGAGTGGCATTTCTCTCCTCTCCTCTGCTTTCTGATTCTCCACACAAACAGACAGGTTGACACCTCATTACCCTGAGTGCAATTAAAGTGTGAGAAATTCCTCTGAAACCGAGGATGGACAGATGTCAACCCCAAACATCTGAAAGTCAGGCCAAATTATCAGTGTTTTCTTAAAAGCACCCAATCTGTCTACAGTGACGAGGACACCGTCACAGCAGATCGCAGGGAAGATAGTCCCGGGCAGAGCACTATCAGCTCTCCTGCTGTTACAGCTGCATCACCAACAAGCACATCATAGCACATTAATGCGTCCTGTATGAAAAAGACATGATAGGCATACATTTACATTTACTTATTCAGCAGCTGCTTTTATCCAAAGAGATTTACAAGTGAGGGACATCACTAAAGCTTCCCTGCAGTAGGAGACCTTGGCCTCAATACTAAGTGCGACATACGTATGCATATATGAAAATACATATGTATCTTTTTATCTACATGGCCCTGATTAGGAAGCTGCTTTCCTATATCACTTCTATTATAGACTGGTCTGGACCATGTCGAACTCGGTCTAATGACTGGCTTTCCCTGCAGGTCCCTCAAGTCTGTACTGAGCTTCCAAGACCTGCCTCTGTTCTCTGTGTTCCGACCAAGCATCAAACTCTGCGGATGGAAAATGAAGTCAGCACCAAAGTACCAAAACCTGCAGTTCCTCTAATGACCACTAGAGTCTGGCTCCAACAGTGAGTCAGTCCCCATAGACTCCCATGTTAAAATGTTCAACTTTACAGCAGAAATAAACATGTTTACAGCCTGGTACAAAAACAGTTTTGGTCTCTAGAGCTAATTTCCTCCCTCATGACAACTGTTTATATAACTCACCTGTTTACATTTTATTAAGGCTTAAAGTTATACATAATTGAGGGTGTGGCCTCTTTGAGTGACAGGTGGGTGAGCGTATGCTTGCCACAAATGGGGATGAACTTAAGTCTCCACACACGCCCCACCTTTTTGAAATTTGAAAACGATGGATCACAACGCACCAAGGCAGCCATCAGTGGCGCCATCTTGGATCTCTTTGTCTTTGTCTCCTCTGTCTCTGCTTAAACACCTTCCTACCCTCTAACAACAGGACTTCTCTGCTGTGTCAGCCACACAAACAACATGAGGAAGTTGACTGGATGAAACTCTGGATTTGCTATTTTTATGTTAAAATCTTGATTGAATGCACCTGCTTGTACAACTTCATGAAAATGTCATTCAACTTTTTGAAGTCATTTACTGTCTATGTTCATGAGCAGGTGGGTGCAGATGTACCCCACATGCACGTGTGGTGTATGGGTCGATTGTAGAGTGATGCAGACGGGTCAGTCTCTCTTGACAAAAGATCACACCAACATTTCCGAGCAGTCTCCACATCTCTCTCTCTCTCTCTCTCTCTCTCTCTCTCTCACACACACACACACACACACACACACACAAGCCCAGACATAGGTCTTTGGTATCTCAGTGTGGTTGGAGCAGAGCCTGTGAACTCCAGAGCAGCCTGCCCACACACAAACACTCTCTGGAGCAGAGAGTGTTTGTGTGTGTACACCAACACCGAGCAGCTGAAGCTCTCTGTCCATGTACTTACTTATACACTTGTGAGAGTCATTAATCACTGTTGAATAGTAACATGGTGTACCATCAGAGTTTATAGTTAGAAGATAAAAAAGAATACTGTATTCACAGATACACCCACAGCCACTGACAGTGAGTGCTACACGTACCCAGTTTTCCACAAAGGAAGCGGACCCTGTAGTTGCGACAGAGGCCGTGAGCCTGGTCCTTGTTGAGGCAGACAAAGCCGTAGTCTTTGTCATTCTTGTGGATCACATCTCCAGTCTGGTTGGATGGTATGCCATCATGGGTTTCAGCCTGGACAAAAGAATGATGAATGACTTACGGTCAAATTTTGTGACATGATAAAGGAACATTTAAAAATACTGGGAAATAAGTTTGTCTATAGCTGGAGAGACAGAGAGAGGGACAGAGAGATGTCTTAGCCACTTGTCTAGGAAAAACCTTTGTTTTCAGGCCTTTAATGTCATGTGTTCTTGCCCCAGACATCTGGTATTTGTCTAGAGTCTGGCTTATTTTGTTGGCAAACTGCAGGAATTTCATCAAGTCCACCAGTTCTGAGGAATGGCCTCAGTTCTTTTGCATAACGTAGCTGTGCTAAACTTGAGAACTGTTTGGGGTTTCCCAGCTAAATTTGTTCTGTGGTCAACACTGGTGCTGAGTAGGGGTGTACATATAGTGTAAATACTGCAAGCTGCCATTTCTCACCAAAGTCCCACGTGTCCTCCAGCAGGGGTTTGCAAAGTCTGAGACCGTAGGCCTCCCCTCAGACAAACCCCTCACTCCACCTTAGTTTACCTGCTTTGTTTCGCTCAGTTCCTGGATGCCAACGGGATCATGATTATCTTATCTGATGCCATAGATACTCAACAACTGAGTCAAGATAGTCTAATACTGCTGTTTGACATAACCTGAGACTAAACCAAATACGTAAAAACGGTCTGTCCTGAGGCTTTTATTCGTTTCCGACTCTGGGAAACTAAACCACTGTGTCTCTGAACCATCACACACATTTAGGCTAATGTATGTGATCTCTTTTGATAACTAATGTAATAACTTGTAATATTTTCTCCCTTCTATTCACCTCCCTGAGACTGTTTGGAGCCCACCTGGTGAGGCCCGCCTCCCACTTTGAAAACCTCTGCTCTACAGTATTAGCAAGTAAGGCCAAAGGCTACATCCACACTACTATGTTTTCACTTTAAAATGAACATGATCCCCGTCCAGACTAACACACCTGTAAACGCATACATACCTGATCATTTATATACACTGGGCATGTGTGAGCCGGTGTAATTCCAATTTCTACATTTTCAAAACGTGAATTCACTGCCTTTTACATGGGGACTGTTGTTGTTTTAGCACTACTTTTACTAAAAGAGCTCTTGTGTAATTCAGCAAATTTCCCTCCAGAACATAGTTGGTGGAATAAAGGCAGTGAGCAGGCCAGAGGAGGTTTCCCTTTCTCTTTGTTTTTGTATGTGGTTTCATTTGTTAATGTCTATAAATTTATACACTAACCATTTCTGACATTCAAACATTCCTACACAAACTAAAAAACTGTGACCTCTTGAACTCCACTGACATTCAGTGTTACCATTACAGCACAACCCCAAACAACAAGAGAGCGACGTCCTGCCTCAGGCACTGAGCCTCTTCACATTTCCTTAGAATGGTCAGATAATCCAAAACAAATCGGAACCGCATTACGTAACATATTGGAATGAGACAACGAAAAAAAAAACACTCGGCTGCTAAAAATAGAGATCCCACAGAGGCAAATTAGAGAGTGAAAACTGCAAACTGAGGAAAACTTTGACTATGTCCAGACTCTGTGGAAAAATGATGACACACGCAGAGCTGGAGGACATGACAGTTCTACTTCCAGTTCTACTGGCTACATCGTAAAAGGCAGATAATAAAAAGAAAACTAGAGAACTAAGATTAACACACTTCTGGAAATCATTATCTTATGCAACTATTCATTTGGCTGAGCAGCCCAGTCAGAGAACAGGAGGACATAAAAGACAGACTGGGAGGAAGTTGAAATGACAATGACATGGAGGTAGCAAATTGCACAGCAGCCATATAAAGAGCAGTTGGAGCGTACAGTAGCTATTTTTTCATGGTAATGGTATGGGTGTTGGAGGCTGTGTGGGCAGACCTGGCACTGCTGCTTATCATCATGGAAGACTAACAGCTGCTGCTTCATGGTGCCAGGCTGAATCACATTCACTGGCTGCGGCCGTGTCGTGTCCCAGCAGCACAGTAATGAAAGGCTGGCGTCGTGCTGATGATCACCTGACTGGATGGACAGACCTAGTCCAATAGCACTGAACGCAGTGGCGTCTGGAGCTGATGTCCATGTGGCGGCTTCGCTTTGGAACACCAGTAACACAACTTTATTGTTGCCACGTGTCGACATGAGATTAAAGTTGTAATTTTTCAGGTTTTCATGAAATCCCATGTTGTTGTTGTTGTTGTTGTTGTTGTTGTTGTTGTTGTTGTTGTTGTTGTTGTTGTTGTTGTTGTTGTTGTTGTTGTTGTGGTTGATGTTGTCATTTTTTTCTGCAGATACATTTTCATTCTTACTACCTCTCTGTCCAGAGGGGGATTCACAGGAAGCAATGTACCATGCGACCCAACATAATTTGGGAAAATTCTGAAAACAGTCTCACTGTTTCCTGCTCACTCTCTGCACACCGTGTCAAAGCTGTGTTATGTTGCTGATGATACAATTGGAAAACTCTTTTTCCTGCTTCTTTTAAAGCTGAATCAAAAGCAAATGGCAGAATACAGGGAAAATTTTCATTATTTAACGGCAGATCAGTTTTAAATGTTGCAGGGATTCATGGAACAACAGGATCAGTCACCACAAGTTGTTCCTCCAGCTCCTCAGCAGGCTCACCTACTCCTCTCACCGTGTCATGCAATTACATGGAACACTACTTGTGTGTGTACAGTGTGAGATTCAGATGATGTTTGTCATTATTCTTGACTGATGACTTCACCAAAACAACGTTTTAACATTTGTTTGGCGTCACTGTAAACAGATGTACCAGTTCTTCTGTTGTAGTGTTGACACAGTAGCTGCTCCCTCAGTGTTTGCTGTAGAATTAAACAGTATTTTCTGTTACCACAGTAACAATCATCCATCACTGAAATCTCAAGGATTACAGCTTCAGGGGAAAATAAAGGTCCTTACTTTAAGAACAACTCCTTCAACCTAAACAGTCACACAGGTTGTTTTTTTTTTTCAACCCTCGGATACGACCTATTGGACCATCTCCTGCAATAGCGCCCCGACAGCACCAGGTGTACTGGACCTTGGTTGTCATGGTTAGACAGTGGCGTACCTAACTTCTTCGCCATGGTTACTATACTATACTAGAAGTACTTTTAACGGGGGGCTGTGGCTCAGGAAGGTCGGTGGTTCGATCCCCGGCTCCCCCAGGCTGCATGTCAAAGTGTTCTTGGGGAAGATACTGAACCCCACATTGCCCCTGATGGCTGCTCCATCAGTGTACGATGTATGATTGTGAGTGAATGGGTGAATGTGGCAAGTATTGTAAAGCGCTTTGAGTGGTCAGTAAGACTAGAAAAGAGCTATAAGTCCATTTACTTCCTCAACATTAGACAGTCTTTGTTGTCATGGTTACAATAACAAAAAAAAAATGTGCTTAACTTTGTCAAACAGTCATGGATAATAGAAACAACATAAACAGCTACTTCCACATGGGAATCAAACACCGCTCTCCTGTGTCACATTCATCCATCCATCACAACCTCCTCCTGACGTGGACTTTGTCTCTCTTTATTCTACGTCACTGCACTTTTCCCTTCGCTCCTGTCATCATTACTACCACCACTAGATGTCGCCTAGCAACAAAACATAACTATGGGTCATAATAAGCTGCTGCACAAACGACCTGTGGGCTCATTTTTAACAAGAGGACGGTCTCTTTAAGAAACCTGCTGTGTTGGGCAGTAATGCAGGGTCAGTGCAGTTTAAGCCAGCCAGCAGTTTGTTAGTCTGTATTTTCATGTCTTGTCCACACATGTGCAAACCCATACCACACTGTTTGTGTTGGTCTGTCTCTCTGCACTTTCTGCCTCTACCCTGTGGCACTCAGCCCGTTGGTTCCTACTAAAGACATAAATCTGTGAAAACAAGTTGCAGGTGTACGGCATGAATTTTACAATGCGGAGGGATTTGCATAAACAGCTGGTCACTGTAGTTTTTAACAAGCATTACTTGAACAGGAGTAAATTACATTACACCCCCCCCAGCCCCCTGCATGGGTCATGTGGCAAAAAAAATAAAAAATATTCAGGTGAAAACCATGTGCACGGATTGTTAAACAGAGCGAGTGGATTGGTAAACCGTGCACGTTGTTGTACTGAGCGCTGCCTGCCAGCTCAGAACTGCATGCCCTTAACAGGTGCTCATACAGCTAAAGTGAAGCTACATTATAACTATAGTTACAAGCTTCATTAGAAAGAGTTCAGCTAAAGATAACCTGCAGTTTGGATGAAAACATCAAGCCACATTACCAGTTCCTAAAGCTAGAGGCTTTGATATATTGAAGCAATTTCACATCAATAAACATCTACTGGTAAGAAGCATAATAAACAACTGTATTAATTCTCCCTCTGCTGCTGTTTTGTGGAACAACGTGTTTTCTACTGGAAATGTAACAAAAACTCCCAAAAGTTAAAACTACGAAATGAACTGATCTTCAGGTTTGAGATCAAGGCGAGTTCTGTCATTTATGATAAACAATATCTTAAAATATTATAATGGAACTTATAATAAATAAAGTCCAGGTACAGTGTCTGGTACGTTTAGGTACATCTAAAGCCAGATGTTTGCTCGTGGAGTCACAGCTGCTCTCCTGTGCTCTGTAGGACCTTGATTACACAATACGGTGTGAGCCATAAATAATCACCTGCAGCCAGCAGTTTATTTAGTGTCAGAATGGAATGTGAGCAAAGCTGCGTCGAGTTGTGCGTCTATTTCAGTGACACTCTGCAGGTGAACCACATCTCTAAAAACCCCGCCCACACTTTCCTACAGGTCCTGCATTCTCTATGGATATACTGTATGTCAGACATATTTAAATGGCTTTATTCATTTTAATGCAGGCCTACTGAGGTTGTGTACTGCACGACATTTACATTTACAAATGTCAGGAAGCCTACGAACACCATGACAAATACTCCTGCACAGTCCATACGTAACCTGGGCAATGGATATGCATAAAATCATAACCCTAACACTATTATGACCAAGATAGCACCTAATGGGGACAGTAGTGTGCGTGTAAACACTAACATTGACAGAGTATGTTTTGTTGATGGCGCTAAAGTTGAATTAAACTAAATATCTATAAATCATTTGGAAAAAGATGTATCCCCTTTGGAATTGGGGACTAATAAACATTGGGCCTCGCACCAAAATTGCCAGACATGGCTGAGCTTGTTGTTCTCGACTTGGGATTTTATAGCCCTCCTGTGGTATTCTGGGAAATGAATGGGTGAGACTCCAATTTAGAGCCAAGTGTATAAAATTTAGAGTTTAAGAACATATCCATCCATCAAATGGACAGACCTCCATTCTTATACAAGTGTGCACACACACACACACACACACACGCATGCACATACACACACACACACACACACATGCACACACGCATGCATGCACACACACACACACACACAGATGGACCCGTCAATGGTATAATCCATTCCCTAGCTGCTCAGCCTGATGTTAACCATCACAACTGAATAACAACCCTAAGCGTTTAACCTGCATCTAATTTCATCCCTCACCCTGAAACAAACTGTTAACCCTCAAACCCATCAAACCAGCTAAAGGTAAAAATTGGATTTTGTTATTCAAAAGACCATTATACGGTCTACAGTTCTGTCTGCTCTTGATTATGGTGATATTGTTTATATGTATGTTTCTCCCACCACACTGAAGCCTCTTGACTCTTTCTGTCACAGCCCACTGCGCTTCATCACGGGTGACACTTTTCTCACTCATCATTGCATCCTGTATATAAAGGAGGGATAATCCTCCTTAACAGAGCTGAAGGGAGAAGCATTGTATGGTGTGTTTACTGTAAAGCCTGCCCAGTTAACTCTTCTCTCTGGTTCCATTTAAACTCAGCACTCATAACATCAGGTCGCAGCACATGTCATCCAGCTGAACCTCTTGTTCACACTGAACTCAGAAACACTGGTTTCAAATGCTATGCTGCGGACAGATGGAATGATCTGAAGTTACATTCTCTTATTTCACTGAAACATTTGAAAAGTTTGTACTTATGTATCTACTGTCACACTTCATTCATACTACATGCTTTTTTTGAAATGTGAAAGTGTATAATGTATGTCTGGGAATTATCTGTGTGTCTATTTTAATTGCCTCTTTGTGCGTCTCTGTCAATTTATTTGTACATGTCTATTTTCACACACAGGTCTCTCTTGAAAAAGAGATCCGGATCTCAAAAGGATTTGATTAAAAACAAACAAGTAAAAACAGACATAGTTATTATTATTACATAATTACATTATTACAAGACTCTTAGACATGAAATGAATAAGAAAATCTAACACAACATCGGGTGGTAATTATATCATGATAGATTTGTACACTGTAAGAATGGGTCCATTGTGAGCAGGAACACAAAGCTAAGACAACCCGAGGGATTGCCGAGACTCACATGTATCTGAGATTTACACTCTGCCTCTGCCCTGCTCCACAGCACTCCGTCTGAGCAGCTGTATCACATTCTGGGACCAAGACATCTGCTACAAATATTTTTTTAAAAATAAAATTCAGAACCATTCCTCAACTTGCTTTTGTTCCAAGTGGAGAACATCATCGTGAATCTCTGACAGAAGCGCGGGATGGAAAAAAAAAAAGACCTGGATGCAAAGTGATATCAGTCATCGGATCTGATTTTGGCTAAGACAACAACCAGGAGTATTTCCCCAGCATGCTGGTCCACCTTTGCAATTTGCTGGAAATAGATGTCACCTCAGGCAGCTGAACATTTACACAGAGGGAGGTGGTGGCGTCGGGTGGGATGGGGTGGGGTGGGGTGGGGGTTTTGAATATTACCTTGCCAAGATATTAAAAGTGACATTTCTGCTAATAAGCTATCAGGGGGCTTCCATGTTGCTTTAGAGAAATATAATGATTTTTTTTTTACAACCGTTCAGGTCATCATCAGTGAGTTTAAATACAATCTGATGCGTTTTAAAGAGAGTGACTGTGTGAGCTGTGTGAGTAATAAATGTTATGGATATAGGTCAGTTTGCAGGACTTACAGTACAGTTTTTCTGAATTGCTGAAACACTAAATCTCGTTCTCTGAACCAAACACTCAGTGACCTGAAGACATTTACTGAATAAATCACTCTTTTGGTAAAACCATAAACTATTTTCACCTGGTTAGACACAAGTTGCAGATCTCAGTTCACCTTTCACAAACTTAAACACATTTTTACTAAAACACACTGTGATTTATTCATGGTGCATGATGGTTTCAGCACAGGTGTCATAGCTTACACACAACAACTCAAAACTGTTCACACTTGTTGCTAATGTGATGAAACCAATGTAAGACAGGTCAGAGTGCACAGGTTGATGAAGGTTGAAGTTTGAAAGCACCAGGAAAATGTATAATCTGAGAGGAAGAGGAGGAAGACCAAGACCAAGACCAGTAATTTCAGATGAAATTATAGCAATTATAATAGACCATGTATATACAGTACATATATATATATATACATAGCTTTGAGGGTGTGGGGCAGATGCAGGTTTGCAAAACTGGACCCCTGCAGGACTCCCATGCTGGCTGTGCACATACACACACACTCATGCATGCATGTGTCTGGTGCAGTAAGGAGAGATTTCTTTACCTGGATGTCCAGCGGACTGCCACACAGTCTGTCGGGATAGGCCTCGTGCAGGTCAGACAGTTTCTCCCAGTCTCCAGATCCCTGCTCATCATCCCTGTCAAACCATTCTGTCCACTCAGCCTCTGGGGGACACACACACGCACACACACACGCAAACACACATTTATTTTTGGGGAAATTACATAGACTTGCATTTGTCCAGCGTTTGTCCTCAGTTGGACAAGCTGTCACCAATTAACAGGTCTTTAGTCTAAAATTTGTCCTCAAAAGTAACCTAACTCAGACACACACACACATACACACACTCTCTAGTACCTCCCAGTTCAGTGAACACACAGCCAAGTGGTAAATATTAGACTAATCTACGTCGAAGCTTTGGCTTGTAGTCCATTTAGACTACCAGAGGACATTTGTAGCAGAGTAATTGAAGGGCTCTCTCCTTCCATTATGTTCTTTGTCTGGCTGCCACAGTGTGGATACGCATTTGACTGTGGGCCTGCATTTCAATCTGGAGCTCGACACACAGTGAGGCTGCCTGACAGTGTTTGAGCAGACTGAGGTGGAGGAAGCTAACAGGTTTATACGTATGAACTCATGAACTAACAGTGAGTTTATTGCATATATTGATATCATCACTAATACTGATGCAAGTGAACCTGTTGTATACGAAGAAAAACGTCTGATCCAACACATCCTCAATCCCAACTCATGGCATACGCACACTCAGACAGTTCCTCTTGGCGGGGCTGTTTAATTCACTGGCTGCCTCCCTTTGTAAATCTGCTCTGGCGTTCTCAGAGATGTGAGGTCCGGACCACCAGGTGAGATCGACGGTCAAGATCCGAGCCCTCGGGCAATTTACTGCCGGCTCTGTTATCTATGGCGTTTTAGATGATGAAATGTTATCTCTTCTACTCTGTGGGCTTCTCTTACGTATAAATATACCACCACATTTCAATAAAACATTTCAATATATAAATGAAAATGAAAAGGGGCCCAGATTAAATTTCATCATATTTTTATGTGTACATTACAGATTGGATATGAAGTGTACCTTTCACTATACACATTGTCAAGTCTGCTATGTAGCCGACTAACAGCTACTGGTCACTATGTCTCTCCACTCATGTCCACCTGTTTTCACATGTGATGACGACTACGCCAGTTCCATTTGCTGATGTAGCTGAAAGCTCTCAAATAGCAAGTACTATTATAGCACTTGAGAAGAGAAGAGAAGAAGAGAAGAGAAGAGGAGAGGCGAAAAGAGAAGAGAAGAGAAGAGAGGGAGAGAAGAGAAGATAAGGAGGGAAGAGGTGTCTGCTGCGAACAAACCTCTGTGAGTATACAGAAGAAGAATAGTTTAAAGATACTTCAGTATTTAATGATAAATGTCAAAGCGCCTGATCTACTAAGTAAATCATAATGTGCTAGAGCTGCAGTTTTCAGTCACAGTCTGACAGACGCTCATCACACACTCAGCTCCTGCACACTGACCTCCAGGCTGCACACTGCAAGTGAAGGGAAGCTCATAGGCTCAGTTCAGCTGAGGTATTTCTATGACATGGTTAGGTAGTGATGTTAATTACTGGACACAGTCAAACTCCACCTGAGATAAACAGCTAAACACGTCTGTGGGCCACGGACATGAGATGGAGTGATACAATAAGATTGATCACGTGAACACGAAGCACCGGAAGTGATGGAGAGAGAGAGAGAGAGTGAGGAGGGGACAGAGAGAGAGAGAGAGAGAGCGAGCAGCAGATTGTTCAGGCTCAGACAGCAGCAGGTGGAGGTGGAGGTGGTGAACGCTGTCAAACACAAGTTGCTCTCAGTTGCTCCCTGTAGTCATTTTACAGTTCACTGATGATCCTGCTCAAATTCAAAGATGATCAACACAAACTACAACACCCACCCACTGCTCACTGGTGTTACAGTAATCAGACATTGTGCTCATTAATAACTGCCTAATTGCTTCATTTTTCTTTATAATGGAATTATAGAAGCTTATGACAACCTTCTTTGTGAGTGCTGTTTACCTCCGGTCTGCAGAGGGAAACAATGCTCCCCAAAAAACAGTTGCAAATTGCATGATCCCTCTCTAAATGCACACAGTACACACAGAGAGGAGAGACGAACACGACATGTGTTTGGAGCTGAACGTGTCAAGGCCTTCAGTATACCTACGTAGCTCTGAGAGTCATCCACCTACATGTGGTACTGCAAACCTCTGTTTGTATGTGAGGGAAGTTTCCAGTACCTTGCACCCACTGGCTGCTGGTGGTGACGGTGAAATGTTCCCCGTAACTCGAGCGGAAAACACGAGAGCTGCGGGCCTCCGAGGAGGCCTTGGTCCCTGACAACACACAGAAACACAAACGTTATGGAAATGTTGCAGTCATGTCAGATAAAACCTGGACTTGTGCAGGGTTTTCTGCACTGGGACAACTTTGACCATGTCTGTGGCAGAGCGGCTCACACACACATACACACCACACACGTCTCTCCCTCCCTCCTCTCTGCTCTGGTTAAGCAGTTGGCATATTCCACTGTTATTCCTCTTCCCCTTACTGTTTTAGCAGCGTGACCAAAGGGTGCTGACTTGGTAATTCCATTGCTACTTATGCATACATTCACATTCATTCACAGGACGCTCTGTTGCCTAACCTTTGTTAGGGTGTGTGGCATGTTCGCCTCGTCACACCTCACCTCTCCGTCTCTCATCGCTGAGTTCGGTTGGTAAGACAGAGGTGTAACATTTTCCCTTGTTAATAGTTTGTCCTCGCGCTTCAGGGTCATGGGAACGTTCCCGTTTGTAATACTGCTCTCTGTAGCTCTTGGGGGCTGGTCGGCAGTAACATGTATTGAATATTCCCAGATAGCACATGAGGGGTTTGGGAGTATTTCTATATTTTTGAAGTCTTGCATATAGAGAGTACTTTATTTTGGTTATTCAGTATTTTTGTTTTTATTCTTATTTTTTGAAAATAGTTTTCATTATTTGCAAATGAATCACACCAACATACCTCATGACATAGTCCCATTAAAATGTTCTGCAGGGACACTGTGTCAGAATGCCACTTACAATATGTACATGCATAAGATCCAGTTGGAAGCAAACAATTAAAATTTGATTCCTACCTTGATAGACAGCGTAATCTTCCACAACTGATGAGGTGTCACCCTTTGTCACTATAAAAGTCCAGGGATGGCTGCAGAGGGAAAAGAGAGAAGAGATGAGACAGGGAATAGTGACAATAGATCAGATAATGGAGAGAGAGAAAGGACAGGAAAAAGACAGACACAGTCAGAGACAGAGACAAAGACACAGTCAGAAACAGAGACACAGTCAGAGACAAAGACAGTCAGAGACAGAGACAGTCAGAGACAGAGACAAAGACACAGTCAGAGACAGAGACAAAGACACAGTCAGAAACAGAGACACAGTCAGAGACAAAGACACAGTCAGAAACAGAGACAAAGACACAGTCAGAGACAGAGACACAGTCAGAGACAAAGACACAGTCAGAAACAGAGACAAAGACACAGTCAGAGACAGAGACAGTCAGAGACAGAGACACAGTCAGAGACAGAGACAAAGACACAGTCAGACACAGAGACACAGTCAGAGACAGAGACAAAGACACAGTCAGACACAGAGACAGTCAGAGACAGAGACACAGTCAGAGACAGAGACAGGGACATAGTCAGAGACAGAGACAGTCAGAGACAGAGACAAAGATGCAGTCAGAGACAGAGACACAGTCAGAGACAGAGACAGTCAGAGACAGAGACAAAGACACAGTCAGAGACAGAGACACAGTCAGAGACAAAGATACAGTCAGAGACAGAGACAAAGACACAGTCAGAAACAGAGACACAGTCAGAGACAGAGACAAAGACACAGTCAGAAACAGAGACACAGTCAGAAACAGAGACACAGTCAGAGACAGAGACACAGTCAGAAACAGAGACACAGTCAGAGACAAAGACACTGTCAGAGACAGAGACAGAGACAAAAGGTATAAATAAGAAATGAAGCCAGAAAAGGAAAAGAATAGACACACAGACAGACGCAGCTGAAGAGCAGGTGGAAAGAACACACACACACACACACACACACACACACACACACACACACACACACACACACACACACACACACACACACACACACACACACAGATGGGATATAGATAGATAGATAGATACATACTTTATTTATCCCCTAGGGGAAATTCACATTTCTGATAATGTCTGATAAAATAAAAATTTAGCCACTGACATCCACAAGTCTGGAGTCTGGTTAATTAAATGAGCTGTCCCAGCATGCATCACTCTGCTAATGGCATGCTGACTGTCAGGGAGGAACAGGAGAAGCTCTATGCATGTGTGTGACACCATGTCTAAGATGTCACCATGCATGTGTGAATGGAAGTGAGAGGTTGTCTATGGTCAGAAAATACTCATGTGTAAACTGTGTAGTAGTCAGGACTGAGGTTTGACACCGGTGTCATGGAGATGGACTTGAAGCACCTGCTCAGACCTGCTCAGAGCTGTACTAACATGTGTCAGGTGATCCGATCACAAGTGGTCAGCTCTGAGTTCAGGTGTGAACGCACCCAAGACACGTTTAGGATGCATTTGAGATCTGAACCGATCTTTCATAATGAGCCAAAAATATTTTACCATTTCAAATGGCGTAAACCTTATTTCACTGTAGAGCTGTGCACAGTGCATTGATGGCCCCTCTCTCTCTCCCTCTCTCTCTCACCCACAAAGACATTGACAACGGACCCATTTGTTGTATAGCCAACGACACATACAGACACAGCTCTCACTTTGGTTATACAAGCACTCAGTGGCTCGTAGCAATCACAGGACAGAATATCTTCTGACGGATATCAAAACTTCAGATAAAACACTGGGACCTTTAAGTTACAGTCGCATTCAGCAAATGCATAGTGGATACCTGCAGGGATGTATTAACAAAAAACATTTCGCTTGCTCTCCTTTTTGACCCGTGGTGGTTCTACTACAGAGAAATAATTCACGAGCAGGTCTCTGTTTTGTTTGTCTTGTGCACGTGCCTGAGGACACACGTGCACGTACACACAACTAACGTGATGCACATTTCTGCCAATGGTGTCACACCATTCCACTGACCCACAGGTGGCAGGAGAAGACAGCAGTGTGCCGGTAAAGACAGTGAAGAAGATTGCAAGCACTCTCTCTCTCTCTCTCTCTCTCTCTCTCTCTCTCTCTCTCTCTCTCTCTCACCACATCTCTTCCTCCTTAATAAATCCATGGTTAACGTGGATGTAAACAAAGCAGGATTTAAAATACTTCAAAAACAATCTGCATTGCAAATCTTTTATGAGGAAGGAAATGCATTCTCCACGTTTGTTAGACCTCAAGGATACAAACACATTAACATTAAGTAACACTGGAATTAGTATTTACTGAATACATCCAGCAAGGCCGGTCTGGCAGCAGACACCTTGAAATCTCTGCAGTCACTGAGGTCACATTGGAGTGACTGACACTGATCAGTAACACTTGTGAATTGCGACTGATATATTATAAAATCTAAGCTCTTACCATCAACACTATTAAAACAGGAACCACACCTGTATACACCCCCCGGATGACTTCATATCAGTTTAAGCTGAGCTTTAAAAGAAAGCTGCGCCCGAGGTGAATTGCGGTGTTCCTCCATGCCGCCACCAGCACCACTGTGGCAGCTACAGAAAACATATGCAAATGACACAACTGAGAATGTGCTGCAGAGTCCACACTGTCTCATAAATTCCGGATTATTAAAATGTCTCTGGGTGAGCCACAAATTACAGAGCCTCTCTCTCTCCTGATGACACCAGTGTTGGTCTGTTTGGCAACAGTGTGAGGAGAGAAGGCGACAAGAGTCATTAAGCAGGAATCCCTCTGTTACCTCACCACTGCTCATCCATTCACTCTGGCTCCTACAGCATCCACAACCACGGAGCAAAGTGCAAACTGGGAAAAGGGAAATGTTAAGATGCGCCCTGCTCTCATAGCGTTTATGTGTTTCTGCGGTCTCCTCTGCAGCACTGAGTTTCATAACAGCGCCTGGCTGGGTCTCTAACCGCAGGCCCTGCACTGCCAACATCCACCAGCACAAAACACAGTCACACAAGCTAGTGGTTTATCATGCAAAGTTGCCCATCCAACAAACAAAGGAGAACAGCTGAGTCTTGTTTGAGGAATGTGTCAATGTCCAAGTGCACACGTTCTTATCCACTCTGATACCCCTCACGTCAGAAACCCCAAGACATCTCCAGGGCTCGGTTATCAAGGCATGATTCACTTTCCATTTCCCACGCATTCCTGACATACTAGCACACACACACACACACACGCACACACACACACACACACCTACACAAACACACACACACACATACACACACACATACACACACACACATACACACACATACACACACACACATACACACACATACACACACACACACACACACACACACGCACACCTACACAAACACACACACACACACACACACACACACACACATACACACACACACACACACACACACACACATACACACACACAGCTAATTGTCTTACATTAGCTGCGAGGACACTCATTGACATAATGCATTCTCCTGTCCCTTTCCCCAACATTAATCATCACATATAAAGGCCTGACCTCAACCCTTATTCTAACCAAGACCATAAAACCAAGTCTTCACCCTAAAAGATCCTCTGAATATGTGAGAACCTCATAACGTCCAAATTTCCTCACAACCAAAAACAGATATGTATGCACGCGCACACACACACACACACACACACACACACAAAAACAGATTTCTGCACAGTAAGATAGAGCATAACTAAAGCACACAGAACAGGATTAGCTGCTACAGCATTCCATAACAAGTGGGGGTGTGTGTGTGTGTGTGTGTGTATACGTTTGTGTGTGGGCGTGTGTGTTCACGTTTGTAATCGCACATTTGCACATGCACTCACACACACGTACATATCCATGTTTTTTTGTGTGTGATGAAGGTCTACATGTTCGCTGCCAGGGAGAAAACTTCTTTTGCTACTTCCACTGTTTGTTTGTTTTTTTTTGACATCAGCTCCAAACAGCAGACAGAGTGCCGGCTGGCTGGAAATCATTTAGCATCATTTACATCTAAAGAGTCACAGGATACCAGACCAGAGTTAAAAGGAGAAGAAATGACAGTAGACTCATGCGGTGAGCACACACAGCTCCTAATGAATGCCGATCTAGATCTCCGTTCCAGCTGGCGTCCTGTTGGAGCACATCAAACCTGGTGCAAAGAATTTTGGTGCAACTTAAATCTTGAGCAGCACACAAAAAAAACGTGTGCAGTCTTGTCTTTACCATTTGAGAAATATAAATCCAAAATTCTATCCATCTATTTTATTTTTTACAGACACAGAGACCATTTAGGATGCTTTTATCTCCTCATGCCTCGACTGCTGCAGCACCTGCCTCAACCAAAGATCCATCAATCAGCTCCAGACTGAACAACTCAGCTGCCAGAGTTTTAACAGGATCTAGGAGAAGTGACTGCATCACACTGGTTTCAGCCCCCCAGTACATTTTAGAATTGATTTTAAGATACTGCTGTTGACTTTTAAAGCTCCTCACGGCCTCTCTCCATGCTTCACATCGGACCTCTTATCAACCAGCTCGTAGCCTCAGGTCCTCGGGCAGAGGTCTGTTAGCTGTTCCTGAGGCAAAGCTGAAAACCAGAGGTGACATAGCTTTCACAGTCAGAGCCTGAAACTCTGGAACGAGCTGCCTGAGGAAAGAGTCACTGACCTCTTTTAAATCTCTTCTTTAAACACACTTTTATCAGAGCATTTTCCCCAATTTTACTTAATTTTATTGACTACTTTAGCTTTTAACAAAAACTTTTTATTTTTTGGTTTTATAGATTTTTACTGATTGCCCTCTTGCTGGTGACGCTGCCTTTGGTCGATTTGCACTAATACTAAGACACTTTAATTGTATTTCTGATTTGCTTGTTTTAATTGTTGCTTTGTGTGACCTATAGCTTTTATTTTGCTGCTTTGTGTGAAGCACTTTGTAACAAGGGATTAGAAAAGTGCTTTATAAATAAAGATTCTTGTTATTATTATTATTATTACAGTTTATTCTGCTGAAACAAACTGTACAAAAAAATCAGTCTTAATCTAAGCAACACCTGCTGTCACACCTATCAACCTTTTCTGCTTGAAATATTCCGCTAATGTGCAACAACAAATAAGTTTTGAAGAACACCTAACTCAGCCTGAGGAAATGTTGCAAAAGTAATACAATATCCTTCTTTATGGTTATATTCACTCACAAAAGTGAGTGTGTGTGTGTGTGTGTGTGTGTGTGTGTGTGAGTGTAATGCAGGTTCAGTTCGGATTGTACCTACTAGACTGTAGGCAGGTGTTGAAGATGCTTTTCATTCCTTCTACATGAAACTTTCTCTCTTTTCTCTTTCAAAGTACAAACCTTCTTTGTTTCCAGCAGGGCTGCACAGTAACCATATCCAGTGACCACTTCATCAGCAACGCTTGTTTAATCTAATGGAATCCAATGCCACTGTTTCTCTTCTTTTATGATTCCTAAAATGTTCAGTTTTTGTCAATTCAATTATATGTTTTAGCTCTGAGGTCATAGTTAGTGATGGTATTGTACTGGGCAGCATGATATGCAGATATTCAGCGTTTCTTTCTGTAGTCCAATACAACGCCACCTTTAACAATGTTTAGTAAAGTGCTTGTAAAGGCAAAATGAATGTCAGAGCTTTTGAAATGAATTACAACCAATGGTACATGTATACCCAATAAAGTGGCCACTGACTGTATATTTTTGTATTTTAGTTTATTGAAAATCATCAAGAACCAAAAGGTTCCAAAAGGCTGCAAAGATTCATTAGAAAAACACAACCATCCACTGGGGTTGTAACATTTTACAAAGCTGCAGACAAAAGAGTGCTGGGAGATTCAAAAACACATTTTCTTTCCTCATATTTTGTGAAATGTAGTTTTCATTTTTTTTTAAATAGACTGATAGAGAAAAGATCACTTTTCATTTTAGGCTGCAACATAACAAAATGTGAAAAGGTATAAGCAAGTGAATACTTTCCCAATGCACCGTAACTTCAGAAACAAATATTTCAGGAGCTCACCGAAATCCCAGACTGCTGATGTGCTGACTGCCCAGCCTGGAGAGGCTCTTCTTGGCGGAGTCCTCCAGGTTGTTGGAGCCCTCGTCGTTGACCAGCATGGCCAGTATGAGCCCTGTTTCCACACCGTCCACGTACTTGGAGAGGCGACGACTCTCATCCTTACTGCGGTACGTGTCGAACCTGTGGGAGTCAAGGAAGAGGACAAAGAGTCGATCATTATTGCACCTTTCAAACAGTTCAATGTTATTAGGTTTAGAAGTGATGGGAGCATATTTATGCACACACTGAATGTAAAATGACACACAACAGTGAAGGAACTTTTCCAACAGAAAAAGATAAAACATTGTTTGCCTGAAGAAACACATCCTGTTAAAGTCTTTTTTCTATATAGCATAAAAATCCGTTTGTAAATGTATATGGCTTTCGCTCACTTAAGAGAGAAGGGAGACTGGACAACACACAAGAAACTCTCCCAATGTACAGAACATGTTTAACAGTGTTGTTTCTCTGTCTCTGACAAAGCAAAAGAGTTTGTCTGCATCTGCTGGTTCAGCTGTCAATCAAACTCATCTCCCTGCTGCCCCCCTAGAGACGCAATTAACAACACATTTTTGTGACATGAATGCCCCTAATATCAGATGCTTTAACAAAATAAAAGTTAGCCTCCATAAAAGACAGGAAGTTAAAATAACCTCTCGTTAGCACAAGAGCAAAAGCCAAGATCAAAAATAAGTTGAACAACCAACGACATCAACGTGTAAAACACTGTCCCACTTGAAAGCAGTATTTGCTGCCGATCCATTTAGAATTATTCTTTAATTGTTCTCTAATCTCTCACTGCGGCTCACTCTTTCTACATATTAACTGTGTTGTAATAGTCTTTTATTATTCAGCGCTTTTAATGGCTGTCACCTTCTAACGATATTAAATTGGAGAAGACTGGAAGCAGTCTACTGCCCCGTTCCCTCCCCCTCTAAAAACTACCCAGTCATCAATTTACCACAATAAAAGCTGTGTTTCAATTCATCTGCCCTCCATTTGAAGTAAAAACATGACGGATAATTAATAATGAAAGGATATTAAGGATGGTATCAATTTCTAAATTTAATATCCCTGCATGAAACAACCATTAGGGCCGTGTTTGTCTCCATCATTACAACCCTGTGGTCGGGCAGCTTATGAGGTGGCAGCTGTAATTAAGACTCTCACGACCCCTCACCTGTCATCGTGCAGCACCTCTCCGGTCTTGGGATCGATGACGTGGATAATGATGCCCCGGTTCCCCCAGCTTCTCTGGAACAGATAGTTGTTTTGGTTGCTCTCTCCGGGGTGGAGGGTCTTGTTTAGGAACGTCCACGACAGCTTCTTCTCTCCGTGGATCTCTAGTGTCCCTCCTGTCCCCACGCCAATGTACTTCCTCCCAAAGTAGCTGTGCTCCTGATCCTTGTCGTCCAATCTGAGAACAGGGTGGTAGAATGAGAGTTAAGCCACAAATGTTGATCTGATGGTGGCTCTTATCAGGAAATCACCAAAGAATACATTGGCCCTGAGAGCTCGACGCACTACGACTTTAGACATCACATTTAAACAGACATAACGCAAATATATTCAGAAAACAAACTTCATCCATTTGACAACGCACGCTCAAAATACTCACAACACAACCATATACACAAATGTCCACTGGCCGCAAATATTCTAATAATACAGAGCTTTGTTTTCTCGAGATAATGGGATAATTATTCTGTTATCTCTACATAACTCGATATAACAAAGCTTTGTTATCTTGAGATAATGGAATAATTATCGGGACTACGCCTTCATGGTTCACTGGCTCTACCAGTGTTTGCAGCACGTGTGTCAAATTGATGAAGAAGTTTTCTGAATTTGAATTTGTGTTTAGTCTGTTTGCATGTGTTTTCTTAAGTTGAGCTCTCAGGGCCACCGTAAAAGACAGTAGGTTTCATCCTCTGGAGACTATGGCCAAATCCCAATGTCCCCTCTAAGTCATAAGTCCTGAACCCTCACACTCCTGGTGAGTGATTGAGTACGAGAGGCTGCAAGGGCTCAAATGGAATAAAGAGGACTGGGACAGCACTTCACATTACCTTGATGATGCCAAAACATTTGTATTCAATTGTGGGTTTGGGACTTTTGATTGTGCATTTTTATTCCCTCCCTTCACTCCCTGTTTGTAAACAAAAAATAATAATGTTGGATCAGATCTGATCCAATTTGGATATTTGGACTTCATCATGTCATCATAGGACAAATAACTGCACCAATCAGGCTCTGAATCCCAGTGAGCTCTGTGTTCATTCTGTCATACACTGTCTGTTTTCTTGTAATGCTAACATCAGGGTTCGTTCCTTTCCTGCTTGTTTGTTGACCGTTTCTCTTCTATCTCATTATTTCTTGTATTGTATAGCCATTGTTTGCCGTTTTTTATTCTTTTGGGTGACCCTTGGTAACAATGGTAACCCTGTGTTTAATGTCACAACGCTATGAACTTTGGGTAATTCCCTCAGGCAAAGTCTGCAGAAATGCAGACTTATGGAAAGTGTCCAGAAAGGGCTCAAATGTCTTTAGAGAGCCCTCGTGCTCTGGATGGTTTGACAGTGGGACAGAACTAAGCCGTCATGGACTTACTGGGAACGAGCCTCAAAGTCTGTGAGTCTCTGAGGGAGGACACTGGGATTGGACCTATGAATGTTGGGTCAACAGTGCCATCCCAAGAGCAACATTGCTAAAATTGGTTCCCAAATATATATGTTTGATTTTCTTTGTCAATACTTTCCTTGCTCCAGCTGCTAATCCACATCTGCTGCTATGGAGAGTTTTGTGTGTGTGTGTGTGTGTGTGTGTGTGTCTGTGTGTGTGTTCATGGTGATGAAGAAACATGGAACAATGGATCTTTATAGCACAGAGGAATAAGCCCAGCTTTACTGAGCCAGGTTTGTAGCACGGCCATGGATCAGTAATTCCTGGAACTTGGATATTTCAGTGTGAGTGGCTCAGAGGCTCAGATGAAAGTTGAAAATACAAACTCAGTGGATGGTGGAGAATCTTCCTACTGACGTCTAAGGTGGGAAAAAAAACACCAAACAAATAAAAACTAACATGAGTTATCCCAACCAACAAAAGAATTCTTCCACTGAAAGTTATAATATGCGACTTTAAATGATTTTTTTTTAAAACAACTAGACCTGTGTTCCATGTGTTGTTGAGTTGTGTTCTTACATTATCACAAATGTTTCAATCAATTCTCAAACCAGAGAACATGCAACATCTAGTGGTCGTAGTACATATGACAGGGGCAAAGGGAAAAGTGTGGTGACGTAGTCAAAAGAGAGATAAAGTCACATCAGGGTTATGGGTGGATGAATATGACACAGGAGAGCGGTGTTTGATTCCCATGCTGAACTAGCTGTTTATTTTGTAACCATGACAACAAATGTTGTCTAATGTTGAGGAAGTACTTATTTCAACACAAATCACAATGTTTTTCTAACCAATCCATGACCATTATTATAGTAACCATGGCGACAAAAGTAGGTACGCCGCTGTTGGTACACTACACGTGTTTATTATTGTTACCATGACAACCAAGTACTTGTACTCCTGCCATCGTAGGGGCGCTATTTCAGCAGACACTGCTATGGGTCGTATCAGAGGGTTGACAACAACAACCTGTGTGGTTTTCAGGTTGGAGGAGTGGTTGGGAAAAAAAATAACTGAATGATTCACTACTGAAGGATGTGTATCAGAGGGTCATGTGCTAATAAATACATCACTGCAGTTCATCATCTTCTAATGGCTATTTCCAGCAGGATGATGCTCCATGTCACAAAGCTAAAGTCTCAAACTGCTTTGATCAACATGACAGTGACTGAACTTAAGCCCTCCCCCCCCCGTCTCCAGACCTGAACAGCTTTAGGATGTGGTAGAACAGGAGATTAGCAGCATGAATAATGCATAATTGATGAGATGCAGTCATGTCAACATGGAGCACAGTCTCAAGCACCTTGTCCAATCAATGCCGCGAAGAACTGAGGCTGTAAAGGGAGGAACTACCTTGTATTAGTCAGAGGTTCGTAATAAAGTGCTGTTAATACATTGATTAGCATCACATCTTGAAAACAGGTAGCTGTGCTGTGCTGAAGTATCTCTGCTAAATCTCATGCAGCATTACCTTCCAAACAGGGAGATTGTGAGGTTGCCTTTATAAGGACAGTCTGGGCTTCCGATGTGCAGCTCCCCCTTGTTCCCAATCAGAATGTGTTTTGTTCGAAGCAGTATTGGCCGGCTGGTGTCAGCAATCACCAACTTTCCTACAGGGGAAAAAGAGGGGGGGGGGGGGGGCTGAATAAGACTCCTAAGACTCCTGGCAGGTCCTTCATGCCCCAGTGCCCTCAGACACCTCCTGTCTTATAACCATTTATGGCCCTGTGCTCTGCACACACACACACACACACACACACACACACACACACACACACACACACACACACACACACACACACAGCTGGCCATCCACCTCTGTTGCCAGGTCTGTGATCCAATGATTCCAGTTCAGTAGTGAGGTGGTGAATAGCTGTTGAACATCGAACATCATCTCCTGTGTGCTGCTGCTGCTGCTGTTGTCTGAGCGGCTTTCACCACGCTTTTTTTTTTCATTGTGTTTTTGCCTTTTGCACATAGAATGGATGTATTCACTGGATTTTTTTTCACTTTGAGAAATAATTCAGTTGGAAGCACAATCGTTAAGGACTTGACCATTTATAGCAAATGATTGTTCAGTTCAATGTAGCAGAAAAGGCTGCGCTATCAAAGAATCTGAGCGATGAGGATTCTGCTGAAAGAACTAATGCTCCATAATACATAGTGTAATCATATAGAATCAGAAATAGCTGTAAACACACAGTGGGGTGCAAACCACTAACCACTGTAAATGAACATTAGACTCTTAGATCAAAGAATCTAGTCTACATTAGTGTTTGGTGCAGCAGCAGCGTTCCCTCACTCTGTCTGTTCATTTGAAAAATGGAAGCTAAACCCCGTGTCAAAAAAACAACTCCCTTAAAAGATATAGAAGAGCAAATATTGCATTAAATACACCTTAATATATAACAAAACATGCATTTGATCCATTACTTCGCTTTAAAGCCAATAAAATACCTCCTTAATTCAGTCAGTGAAAAGTTCATTCAGATGAGGAGCGGGCTGTGGTGGCGGAGTCAGTTTAATCTATCCATCTCATTTCATTCACTTACTAAAGTGCTGCTTGAGAAACAGATGATGCATCAATGACCCGGTGAGAACAAGCATGAATAAAACAGCTGATGATCAGCTGATGTGAGTGAATGCTCTATTGAACAGTGAAAAACACATCTTGTAAAGTTATAACCTGTGTCTCTGTGTTCATTGTTCACTTACTGTATGTAGGTCCCACTTCACCGTCAGACGCCCCTTATAAAAGATTTATGAATAGGTTATAGCTAGTTTATTAATTAGCTTGTTAACACTGTAAATCATTAATCAACCTTCATTCATTATAACACATTAGATAAAAAGGCCATCAGTGACCTGTTGCTTGTCAAATAGTGAGCCCACATGTCTCTGTACTGTTCAGCCTCATATCTCATCAGTTACTGAGCTTTCTTTGTTTTCTCCATCATCAGCATTTGTAGCTGCTGCTTCATCTCATTTGTTAAGTTTCTACAGTAATTAACCACCGTCAGCATCTTAATGCTCAGAAAGTGGCAGATCAAGTTATGGCAGATCACATGATCATATCAAATGAGCAGATTCATCCTCTGAGGCCGTGGCAGTGATGTTTACCTCGACATGTGTCAGCAGCCGTCCTCATTCTAATCACAGCTGTTGATCAGATTGTTATCACAGTGCAGATTAACATGCAGATGCTTTCTGCTGGTTGCTCTGTTCTTTAGGACTTTAGCATCCAGCTAGAACACAGTTGATAACCTTCCTTTACCTGGTGAACTGTTCACCCATTCTTTGTCCCACTTTGTCCCACTGTTCACATCTCACATTCTCGCTCCATCATCTTCATGTTTCTTCTTCTCATTTTTACAAACATTTATTCATTATTGATGACTGATGAACATCTGGTCAATATGAGGTTTTTAGACATCCTGCCAGAGGCCTGCATTTGAAAATTAGCCTGTTGGCTAACACTGGCACATTTACAGAAAGGTTAATTAATGTGCACTGTCCTTTTCAAATAAATAAATAAATGAAAATGAAATGAAAATCAGTTACTGACATTTAGAACTGGTAAAATGAGCTTTATTGTTAAGTGTAGAAAAAAGCGTCAGCATTTATTAATTATTAGTAAGCATTAACTTCATCTTGCCAAATAGTGAGTTGCATCAATGTATGACAACTGTGTTACAACTTGTTTACAATTGTTTATTCATGATTTATAAAGTGTTAACAACCAAATTAATAACCTAATTATAAATCCTTTATAAGGGTAGTCTTATTGTAAAGTGGTATCTTAAATACATGTCATTTAAAATAAATCTAGTGTTTTGATATTAGACTATAGTATTTGGGGGTTGTAGTAATTTCACAGAAGGCTTCTGTGTCTCCATAAGAATCCTCCACCTCCTGATCTAACAGCATGGGTGAGGTCCTCTGCAGCAGCGTATCTCAGCACCTCTCCATATCGAGCTGTCTTTATTGAGCCACGCCCATTTTTGAGAGACAAATCCCCCTCATAGCTATACATACATACATATATAACATACTGTTAGAAATCAACTCTAACTACCATTTCTCTGTGACTTTAAAGAAAGATGACCAGAGGGATTTGTCCTGCTTACCTCCACTGAGAATCTCAATGGAGTGGACCGTAGCGGAGGTTGTGAGCAGGACCTTCCTGCCATAACCGATTGTGACACGGTGGTCTTCACTGTGTCCTGGCATCCACGGCTGCAGTCCCGGCTCCTTATCCGGACAAACTGCAGGAGACGCAAAACACACACAACTTTAACTTCCAGAGACGTAACTCACAAGTGGTGGAAAGTCACTAAGTACATTTACTCGAGTGCAGCACTTGTGCACAGTTTCTTCCTTATTTTGAGTTTGTGTATTATTAGTATTAAACATTTCAGAGAGACTTTTTAAACCACTACATACGTTTTACAGCTATAGTTACATTTGAGATTAAGATGCTACATAGAAATACATATGAAATAAATAAATAATGAAACAGTGTTACAGATTAAACTTGTGAACCAAATGTTTTTGGCTTGTGTAAAAAAAAACCTCGTCCTGTGTCAGATGTCTACAGGACGTCAGCAGAACCAAAGAAACATTTCCTCTCTAAACAAAAAGATGAGTGCAAAGTGAGTATGAAAATGAATACAAATCTGTCCTATTAATCATCTCACAACCCCCTGATTTACACTTTGGTCTGACCCTAGTTGTGGATCTACTAAACTATTCAACTACTAACTAGGTAAACCTGCAGTGTCTCCACCTCGACCAGCTACAACAGTAAAACACTACTTATGCAGTAAAACATCAGTGTTATAAATCTATTAGTGTATGTGATAGTATGATCTGATTCTCTGTAGAAGTGCTGATAATATTTTTGTACTGAAATGCAGGACTTTCACCTGTACTTGACTAATTTTCACATTAAGCCAGTGGTTCCCAACAATTTCTGACTCGCGTTGTGTTGGTGGCCGACATCGGGCAGCGTAACAATACAAGTATACAACGTGGTCCAGCCGGTGACGACCTAAAAGTTCCTATCACTGGTTTATCACACTTATCACAGTGACAGGCCTTAATACCAAAACAAACAATAATAACAAAACCTGTCAAAGATGATTTAGTTTTAAGACATTTAAAAGCAAATTATTTGTCGGCCAACTTTCAATACCTTCACGGCCCACCAGTGGCCCACGGCGCACAAGTTGGGAACCACTGCATTAAGCTATTGGTACTCTGACTTAAGTAAAAGGATCTGAATCCTTCCTTCACCTTTGCAACTCACCACAAGCTGATGATGTCATCGCTGAAAACAAACTTTAAAGAAAGTGCTTGTTGGGTCGTGTGACAGCCTCTGAAACCTTCCTAACAGACAATCCAACATTTGTCATGTTTTACGTCACTTTGTGTGTAACTGAGAGCAACACCAAAGTTTCAAAGCGTGACTGACTCAAAGTGTTAACTGAAATCTCCATTTGTATCAACACCACATTTGTAGTTCTCTGTGTCAACACGACTGATAACACAGAGAGATCAGGGAGGCAGTGCCGTACATCCAGGAGGCTTTTCACCCGCCGTCTGAGTGTGTTCACTCAGAACAGGCAAAGACAGTGTTGCCAACACGTTGCTTGAAGTATGTGGATTAATTTGGGCATTCAGAGAAAAATATCTTTAAACACAGAATGTACTACTACTACTACTCCTACTATAACTAATAATATTCTTTATTCACATCACATGTGCTGCACTTCACAAGACTAGTAAAGAATTGGACAGATGACTGATGAAATCTGACAGCGCAGACAGAGCTGAACTGAAAGACTGAAGATTCTCTTTACAAGAATAAACAAAATGAAAATGTGACTGTGAGTCACCGTTTCACTGGTCTTAACTGTAACAACAAGTGACCTTGTAGCATGCTGCAATCCCAATATGAATGAATTACAAGAGAGGATGGAAATCGTTCAAATACTTTTCGAGCAAACAAAAACTCTTTGATCAAGTCTCTTACAACTGGAACATTACTTTTCACAGGACAAACACAAAATGAAAACTTCTATCTTTTTGGGGGAAAAACAGTTCAGGGTAAAAGTCAGCTTTGCATCAGTGCCTCAGATTCATAGAACAAGGGCGACTTTCTTGTCTCACCAACATTCAACTCCCAGAAAGAAATTCTCGAGGCAGGGAGAGTCCTGGCAGCACAGGGCACACCCAGATATTCATATGTATATATAGTATACAAAGAGCAACCTGTCACCTTTGATTTAAAGCAAGCAGCAACCATTTATCTTGAGGCTGTTGAGAGCCACTGTGGGAAACACATCGAAATCATAATAAATGAGACACATCAGAAAATCTCCACTGAACATCAGAGTCATGAGAGCAGCAGTGTTAGCTCCTCAGCTGTGTCCATATGTTCTATGCCAGTAAGATTTGTTTTCTTCCTCCTCTGCCACTTCCTCAGCCTCCCCATCCCTGACTATCTAAATGGGGATAAAACAGCACACAGTGTTATTGGATTGCTCACCCAAGAGGAGACTGACAAGTGATAAACCCATTTGGTTTGTGTCTGTTATTATCAGGGTAGCGCTGAGACACTGTTTGTAACTGTCAGTCTGCCCAATAAAGTTTCAGTCTATTGCTCTCTGGTGTGTGTGGTGGTTACCTCATCTCCCTGCCACCTAATGGATCCATCAATGGCCCTGACTGGCCAGGGACCTGACCTGTCAAGCAGATTTCCCAGAGGGCTAACACAGATTGATCGATGGTGACGTGCAATCGGCGGCTCTCTGATGTCTGGGAGTGACTGGTGTTTGGCTCTGGAACGTCTGCGGAGGTGTTCGCAGCCTTGCTGTGACTCAGAGACACTCCTCCCTACCGAGGGTGGGTAAAAAAATCTTTTCTCATAAGAATCGTGGCTCTAATCTTCAGCAATTCTGAATCAATTCCAGATGTTGAATTTTGTTTAATGTAAAAGCTAAAAATATAAACCAGAATCACGTCTTCGTGGTTGTTTCCTCCACCAACCTGCCAAGTTACAGGCAATATGGTCACAGTCTCTCCTTCCTTAGGTACAGCATTTTGTAAAGGGGTTTTTGCAGATTATGATGTCACAGTGAAGTTGACCTTTGACCTTGTCATTATTTCATTTTATTCTCATAGGCATTTGAGTTAAATTGTGTCATAATTAGTGAATGAACTTGTGAGTTATGGCCACAAACATAGGTTTGTTAGTCACAGTGTGACAGAGGTGATGAACTTCCCTCTGGTCGTTCCTGATATATCGCATTCACGAGAACATGAGGTCACCGTGACCTTGAACTTTGAACTTTGTCCACCAAAATCTAATCAGTTTATCTTTGAGTCCAAGTGAATGTATGTGCCGTATTTGAAGAAGTTCCTTCAAGACGTTAGGGAGATATTGTGTCCACAAGAATGGGAGGGAAAGACAACCTGAAAACAACATGCCTCCGGCTCTAGCTGCCGCCGGCACAGAGACGTAAAAACAGTACAACTCAACTGGATTGGCACAGTGCATAGAGCAGTTATTCTGTAGCTCATCTTAAAAAAAGGCAGGTGTTTGGGTGCATTTCGGATTTAATTAGTCAGTTTTCTCAGAACGTGGTTCCTTGCGTGATTTTATTGTTAAAAAGTTTTGTTTTTAAAGTGTATTTTGAAATTTATTATTTGTATTCCCATGTTGCACTAAAGACAGAATAAGGATTTTTAATAGATTTTTATGCCTCTGCGCCAGCGACAGTCAGAGCCGGAGCCATGCTGTTTTCAGGTTGTCCATCCGTCTGTCCCTTTCTCGTGGACGTGATATCTCAGTAACGCCATGACCAAACTTCTTCAAAACATTCATTAGGACTCAAGAAAGAATTGATTAGGTTTTACTGGTCAAAGGTCAAAGGTCAAGGTCAGTGTGACCTCAGAAAACACTTTTTAGACATCAAGCCTTCATACAGTGATGTGACAAGATTTCACACAAACGGTTCATATTTTCTATGACTCTGTATAAAAAGGGAAGTAACCTGAAACTAGTCTGAGCGGAGGAGGCAGACAACCACAAGGAGGTGATTCTAATTTTTCATGTATTGAATAAATATGGATTATATTACTTCTGTTTATTATATAATAAAATAAATTCCAGTGTCATCCATCCTTATAACATGCCACACATCACATAAATAAGTTAACTCCAGTAGCTTTTAAGGCCATACTTCATGTTATATTGTATTGTCTAGAGGGATCTCTGTTTCATGTTACTTTACACTCAAATTGTGGTGACAAAACTGCCTCGTCTAATTTTTCCTTCTTCGTTTTTACATCAATAGATGGAAATGAGTGGACTAACTCATGTTAAAGTTTCCACCTCCTCCAAGCACTGAAGGATACACACACTAAAATGGAAATGCTTACACCATAAAACCATAAAACCCGACATACAGTAAAAAGTTCTTCATCAGCAGCTGTTCACACACACACATACACACACACACACACACACTCACTCCTGAGTGAGCGACTGAAGTCAGTCCTTGGAGATCTGTGTCTGCCAGTTCCTGGAGTGTTTGACAGCTGTGAGTAAAACTGCTGATGCTGCTGCTTTGCTTTGAATTCTTTTCTTAATCCAACAACTTAACCTGTGTCTGAACTCCATCACAAAACCACCAGCCCAGGTGAGTCAGGGAGAATTACACCACAAAAACAAATCAGGAGGAATGAAGCTTTCAAGGCATTTTATCTCTTCACAGCTGTAATTACAGGTGAGGACAGGATAATAACAGAGTGTAACACAGCAATGAGCTTTCAAGGAGAGCTGCTGCATAAATGTCTTGAGCTTTATCTGCTTTGTTCAGGGTGGACCAGGCTCTTGATGTGACCATCTGATTGTACACTAACAACAGTGTGGTGTGGCTTCAAGTTGTCTATTTACAAAACTTCACACAAGTGAAGTCAACAAGTGATAACAGTTGAATATTAGAAATAATCAACAGTGGCTGCAGTGAAAGAAATCAAATATCAGGAGGTTACCAGGATCAACTCCACTGAGCTGAAATGTCAGTCATCATTAGGACAGCTGATTACATTAATAATTAAAAATATTTAAATGAAACAAAGAGAGTTGAAGGAGAGTTGGAATCGAAGGCAAAGACCCAGGGAAGGAACCCATCACAACCAGTCCTGTCATTTACTGAACCAATGACAGATTCTCACACAGTGCACACCAGAGTGTGTT